GGCCCCAAATCTCCGAAAAAGAAATAATATGACAAGGCATAGCCCATTTCAGTCTCAACTGTGTTTGTAAAGGTTGTTTCTTCTGGTATCTGTATCACTGCACTGTAGATGTAACTTCAGATGAATGAAGAAGTGGGTTGTAAACCACAAAATCTCATGCTAAAATAAATTAGTCCCTCAAAGGTGCCACCAAATGCCTTTCCTCCTCTTTGTTTTTTTTTTGCTACAATAGGGTGCAGCAATATTTATTGCTGTAGTAGAGCAGACAGCAAAATGAACAAGAACACAGGCACAGCCATACACATAGAAAGGCAAATGCAAGAATTCCTAGTCAAAGCAATAAAATGAACTAGGTCTGCAACAATTGAGCCCTTGCCTATATTACAATCCTGAAGAGCTTTGTAAGCAGCTTGGCAAAGGAAGGAACAGTGCTCAGAACACCTGGAGATACACAGAATGCCCACGCTTGGCACAAAATAATGGGCATAAAATGCTCAAACTATGTTGTCATAAATGCAGGGACTCTGTAAAAATGCTAATTTAGAGCATCTTGCAAAAGGATAGGGACACTCTTCTCCCCCACCCCATTCCTCATGAATTTGAGTGAGAAATGTAGCTTGTTCATGGGTGTGAACTAATTCTCAGATCAGCTGAACTCTGATATACCAAACTGTAAAACCTACAACATCTAACATGTGCAAGATTTTGGTTCACACTATGCCCCCAAACTCTAGAACAATGGTTCCCAACCTTGGGTAATCCAGGTGTTTTTGGACTGCAGCTCCCAAAATCCTTGACCAGCATAGCTTGTGGTGAAGGTTTCTGGGAGTTGCAGTCCAAAAACACTTGGGTTACCTAAGGTTGAGAACCAATGCTTTCTTGCAGTGGTCCCCAACCTTGGGCCTCCAGACGTTCTTGAACTATAACTCCCAGAAGCCTTCACCACCACCTCTGCTGGCCAGGATTTCTGGGAGTTGAAGTCCAAGAACATCTGGAGGCCCAAGGTTGGGGGACCACTGCTTTATTGGACAGAGGCACAGCAATGAAGACCCTAGGGGGCAGCAGGGGCACACCTGACTGTTATTTGTGTGCCTCCTATACCTCTGCTGAGCAATGTCCTGGGGGTACAACATGCCATGTCCTGCTCCTTTCAGGTGTGCTGAAGGATGCTATCCCATGCTCAGTATTCAAATACCAGACTAGTCATTATATGGAAAAAGAGGAGGGAGGCAGCAAGAGGTGTCAGGCTGGTCTTGATCCACAATTCAGTTGTCCTGCCTGGTGCCCTAACTGTGGAATACCATCCCACAAGAGGTACTGGGACCGTCCCACAGAAGATAATAGAACCATGCGATTGTGTCCAATATTGTACATTAATTACTGGCATCAGACACTGATCTAGAACTAAAACAGCTTCCCAATCATGCGATTGTGTCCAATATTGTATATTAATTACTGGCGTCAGACACTGATCTAAAACAGCTTCCTCAGATTTAATTGGAAAAGAAAGGCAGAGTTGGGTGTAATCTGCAGACCAGACAACAGTCTCCCAGTGGTTTCATGCAGATGTTAATAGCATAGGAGACAAAACAGGACCTTGAGAGAAACCAACAAGTATACATTCCCCTTGCGTAGGTTGTTCACCAAGGTGACCAGAGTCATCTCTGCCCTACAAACAGGCCTGAAGCTGGATTAAAATTGAACTAGATAGTAATCTGTTTCATCCAGGTTTAAGGAGTAGTTTTACCAGTTCCACATCCCAGTAAGCATCCATGGCTGAGCAGAGTTTTGAACTTTCTGAGGTACACCAGGTAGTGACTGACTGCCCATCGCCACTCACAGAGTGCAGGACACCCTCACTGTGTGGCCAACTTCGAGGCCAACGCTCTCCCTGCTGCGCCCCACTAGCTTTCTCCTGCACACGCCACCGCTTCTGTGACAAGTGCAATGCTGAGTTTCACAATCTGAGCTTTTGAACATGAAAGATAAAGCAAATGACGGGCTAGAGCCCTGAAGAAAAAGGAGAATGGCTAGATGGGTTGGGACCGTAATAAAAACACACAGTGTTCCCAGACATGTCCCTCCAAACAGTAGCTCTGCAAAATTTTCCTGTCCACCCAAACACACGACATCACCAGGAAGCTGTTGGCGAGTAGTCAGAGCACTTTTGACGGCCACTAGGACATGCTGCACTTCTGACAGAGCCATTCTTGCTTGCTGCCCTTTCTGCTCAAGCATGTCTATAAAACCTTGTTGTTGTTTAGTCGTTAAGTCCTGTCCGATGCTTCGTGACCCCATGGACCAGAGCATGCCAGGCCCCCCTGTCCTCCACTGCCTCCCAGAGTTTGGTCAAATTCATGTTGGTTGCTTCGATGACACTGTCCAACCATCTCATCCTCGGTCGTCCCCTTCTCCTCCTGCCTTCACACTTTCCCAACATCAAAGTTTTTTCCAAGGAGTCTTCTCTTCTCATGAGATGGCCAAAGTACTGGAGCCTCAGCTTCAGGATCTGTCCTTCCAGTGAGCACTCAGGGTTGATTTCCTTCAGAATTGATAGGTTTGTTCTCCTTGCAATCCAGGGGACTCTGAAGAGTCTCCTCCAGCACAACAATTCAAAAGCATCAATTCTTTGATCAGCCTACTTTATGGTCCAGCTCTCACTTCCATACATCGCTACTGGAAAAACCATAGCTTTGACTATGCGGAGCTTTGTCAGCAAGGTGATTTTCTGCTTTTTAAGATGCTGTCTAGGTTTGTCATTGCTTTCCTCCCAAGAAGCAGGTGTCTTTTAATTTAGGAGGTGATGGGACCAGTGGCCATGATCTTAGTTTTTTTGATGTTGAGCTTCAGACCATTTTTTGCGCTTGCCTTTTTCACCCTCATTAAGAGGTTCTTTAATTCCTCCTCACTTTCTGCCATCAGAGTGGTATCACTTATATATCGGAGGTTGTTGATATTTCCTCCAGCAATCAACTCCGGTTTGGGATTCCTCCAGTCCAGCCTTTCGCAAGATGTATTCTGCGTATAAGTTAAATAAGCAAGGGGACAATATACAGCCTTGTCGTACTCCTTTCCCAATTTTGAACCAATCAGTTGTTTCATATCCAGTTCTAACTGTGGCTTCCTGTCCCACATATAGATTTCTCAGGAGACAGATAAGGTGGTCAGGCACTCCCATTTTTTTAAGAACTTGCCTTCGTTTGCTGTTGTCCATACTACAACTTTTGCGTAGTCAATGAGCAGAAGTAGATGTTTTTCCTGGAACACTCTGGCTTTCTCTATAATCCAGCGCATGTTAGCAATTTGGTCTCTGGTTCCTCTGCCCCTTCGAAATCCAGCTTGTACTTCTGGGAGTTCTTGGTCCACATACTGCTGAACCCTACCTTGTAGGATTTTGAGCATAACCTTGCTAGTGTGTAAAATGAGTGCAACTGTACGGTAGTTGGAGCATTCTTTGGCACTACCCTTCTTTGGTATTGGGATGTAGACTGATCTTTTCCAATCATCAGCCAGTGCTGAGTTTTCCATACTTGGTGGCATATTGACTGTAGCACCTTAACAGCATCATTTTTTAAAGATTTTAAATAGTTCAACTGGAATGCCATCACCTCCACTGGCCTTGTTGTTAGCCATGCTTTCTAAGGCCCACTTGACTTCATTCTCCAGGATGTCCGGCTCAAGGTCAGCAATCACACTATCTGGGTTGTCCTGGACATCCAGATCTTTCTGGTATAATGCCCCTGTGTATTCTTGTCACGTTTTCTTGATGTCTTCTAGTTCTGTTAGGTCCCTATCATCTTTGTCCTTTATCATGTCCATCTTTGCACAAAAGAGTACCTGGCTTGTTATATGTTCCAGGGCTAAAAGTCAGAAGGAAAGTTCCCAGGGCCCCATTGTTCTACCTCATTGTTGTTATGTGCTGTCAACTTGCTCCTGACCTCTGGCAACCCTTGTAAGGTGTTCAAGATATGTGGTTTACCATGGCCACACACACCCCGCAAGGAATTTTCCTGGTGGAGAGTAGCAAGTGCAAATGCCAATGTTTGGGGTGCCTTCAAATCTCATCTCTGCTGTTGTGAGCTCCCTAGACAGCCTCAGAGACCCCAGCCTGCCTCAATTCCCCCCCACACAGCTTCCAATAAGGAAGTGGGGAGTGGGATAAAGAATTCTGACTCCCAAGCGATTTTGGCCCTGCTTATCTTTTGAACTACAAATCCCACAATCCTGGGAATGATGGCCAGGTGCTGGAACTTTGAGGCTACATGTGGGAGGCCAAAGTTCCTCCGTGTCCTTGTTGAGATTTTTAAATCTATAAATGTATTAAATATAGTGTCGTCTAATGAATGTAGAATGGCTGATATTATCTGAGTCATGTACAAAGTGGATTCAGGTGTGTTGAAGACTTACTATTGTGCAGCTGGTGAAAATGATGTAATCTTTGGTAATGTGCAATGATGTAATGTACATTGTGATTTGTCCCTAGATGTATAAAAGACGTGTTAGGGGGACAAGTTACTGGCTGTAAATCAGATGATTTATTCTGCATCATGTTATGCTGCCAGTTTCATGTCTGAAATCTAAGCTCTCTGTATATTTCTAAATAGACTCTGCTGATTTTTACTCTCTCAGTGTTACAGTGTCATTGCAACTGTATATTTCCTAACTCTTACATCCAGAAACATAACATAATTCTCAACGCTCCTGCTCCTGCTGAATTTCACATGGGAACGCGCTTCGGGGCAGAGACCCCCCCCTTTTCGCCAGCCGCTCTCGGGAGCGCACCCCCAGTTTCGGCTGGCGCTTCCTACTCGGGGAAGACTTACGCCTGGCTACCGTCGGCCTTGCTTGGACTGGCCTGACACCGAGACCGCCGACTCCCTTGTT